TGTCTGTCTGTCTGTCTGTGTGTGTGTCTGTCGGTCTGTCTGTCGTCTGTCTGTCTGTGTGTGTGTGTGTGTGTCTGTCTGTGTGTGTGTGTGTCTGTCTGTCTGTCTGTAATCTGCACCTGGCCGTCCACCTCCGCCCACCCGAGCCCATCGCATCCTGTCTCCGTGCACACGTTGCCATCTGTCATCGCTCACACCTCCGTCTACCTCCACTCCTATCTCTCGACGCCACATGCCCCCCAAATTGTGCAGTCGGTAGCGAGAACTTCAAGACAACAGAGGCCGATGCCTTGCACATCCTCGACCTTCTTACAGCGAAATGCCCACAAGGTACCAGCCACAGTGACCCCACGCACACATCACACCCCTCTCTCAGCGCTCGCCTGCACCGCCACATATCTGCACGCGCATCCCCTCTTCTCTTGCTTGCTGCCTCTTCGTCGGTTGCTTTGACGATGCATGCATGTGTTTCTGCGTACACCTCACCCTGACCACCTGCGTACATCTGTCACCGCGCCCCTCTTCTCGCATCTGTTCAGGGTTGAATCAGCCCGATCACCACGGCCTCACGCCGCTCCACCTCGCCGCCATGCACGTGAGCCATCCGATTGTGTGTGTGTGTGTGTGTCTGTGTCTGTGTGTCTGTGTGTCTGTGTGTGTGTGTGTGTGTGTCTGTGTGTCTGTGTGTGTGTCTTTCGGGCTGCCTGCGTTTATCCGCTTGTCTGTGTCCGTCTGCCTGTACACAAACAAGCCATGACTGACCCCCCATCATCCCACCACCCCATCACACTACAGGGCCACGCTGAGCACGTGTCCCATCTCATCGCTGTGGGCGCAGACGCGACAAAGGCGGACATAAAGGGGCGAACACCCCTTGATCTCGCACGTGCGCGGAGAAAGGACAACACCGCAGCCGTGCTGGAGGCATGCAGCAGCTAATGATGATGATGATGCGCCCATGCAGTGGCTCATGGTCGGTTGAGTCGAAACCATGGTTTGACACAATGGTTTGGTTTGAGTGACAACGACGACGCCGTGTTGCTGTCCACTCCCAGTCCCACCACCACCACCACCACCACTACCACCACCACCACCATCATCATCATCATCACCATAATCATCAACAACACCACCACCACCACCTATGGCATCGCCAGTCGTGTTCACCCATAACACGGCCCACTCCTCTTCCCGTCTGAGTTGCACCGATTACACCACTTTCACAGAATTCATTGTCAGTTAACTGCGACCCTCGTCGTGCACACGCGAAAAGAACACCACAGACGACACAACACAAGCACTACCCAGCACGTCCGAAGCTACGTACACACACGCGGAACAGCAATCTGAGAGAATAACGCGCGCATTCACACACACAAACACCTACCTCCACACACACACACACACACATCAGCACAGTGTCTGCAACAATACACCTCCATCCCCTTCCCAAGTCTTTCTCCTACCCCGCGTCAGTGGCCGCCCCTGAGATGGAAGATGAGAAACGTGGCGACAGCGGCAGCAGCAATGCCAAACGACACGGTAGCATTGCCAAGTACGCCGCCTGTCACGGAAAGAGACAGCATGAGGTGGTACAGGCATGCTGTGAGTGCAAAGATTGCAGCACAACACGTACATAAACGCTGACACGCACGCACACATGCACACACTTGCACTCACACAAGACGACACGCACGCACACACGCAAGACCACACGCATGCACAATCACGCGCGCGCATATACGTGCATACACTCTCATACAAATGCAGGAGCACATGCAGCATGCTACCTTGACTGCCCGGTGCGTCTCGCTTCGGCCGGCCCCTGTTGTTGCGTCGCGGTGACTGCGGCGGTGCAGAGTCGTGCGTTGATGACGATGATGTCCGGGTGTGGTGGTGATGGTGGGACGATGCCTGTCGGCTCGTGTTCAGTGCGTCACCATCATCACCATCACCACCATCGCCATCACCATCATCTCCCATGTGCACACCACTCCAGCCGCTCGCCTCGCTGGCAGTATCGCCACCGCGCATGTCATGCAGCGGCGTTGGTGTGGACGGGGGCCGGCTCGTGCTCTTCTTCAGCTTGTCCGTTGCGCCCATTCCAAATGCGCCTTTGGTGCTCGCGTACCTCTGCACAGCTTGCAGGATGTCCTGGTCTCATTGGAGTTTGTGTGTGTGTGTGTGTGTGTGTGTGTGTGTGTGTGTGTGTGTGTGTGTGTGTGTGTGTGCGTGTGTGTGTGTGTGTGTGTCAGCGTGCGTGTGTGCGTGTGTGTGTGCAGGTGAGGGATTTGAACGGAGAACCAGCGTGTAAATACTTCCACACACTGTGACGATATGCACACGTGCACACACTCGCAGTGCACACACGGGTCCTACCAGGAGGATGATGGCAGAGTTGTAGTGTGCAATGTTGGTGTAGTCGGGGCTGCGGTGCATCGCGTGGCGCGAGATGAAGGCATTGGTGAGCACGTGGTGACTGGCACGCTCCAGCTCGCATGACGATACACAAGCAAGCAAGCAAGCAAGCACACGCACACGCACACGCACATGCATACACACACACACATACAAGCATATGCAAGCAAGCGCATGGCAGGGCGAGTGCGTACTTTGGCTGTCCTGTGTGTCGGATGAACATTTGTAGCACATCCTGATCCAAACACTTGCGGTACCTGAACGCAACGCAACGCAACAGTGTGGCGGTGTCGGTGGTTGAGGGATGAGCGTCATTGCATTGTGTTCAAACACAACACCAGCAACAACAATCACGTCACACCTCCACCAGCACACACACCACCAGAAGTGGGCGACATCACATTATGGTGCTCACCATTCGAGTGCCGCTGCGTTGTCGGTCTCTCCAAATGCGCCCTCTTGGTGCAGTTGGCCTGCCGGAACAACCATGGGAATGGGGAGGTTGATGGGTCAACGGGTACACGAGTGGTGCAACAAGCATGAGCAGACGGGTGGTCAGTGGCGCGTTCGCCTGATCTTCACAGCTTCAATGCCGCAACGATACACAAGCCTTTACAGCAAAGAACAAAACCAACGATCACTGCGCCTACACCACCACTACCACCACCACCACCACCACCACCACCACCACCACCACCACCACCACCACCACACTCTTCTCTTCGTTCATGTCCCCGCACCGAGCATGAGCATGGCTTGTGGCTGGTGCTGCTCTGCTGCCTGCTCCAGCAGCTGTCGGCTCCTGTTGGCGTCGCGCGGGATGTGGAACGCGGGCGCACCGGACTGATACACGCGCGCGAGGGCGAGCAGCGCATCTGGATGGCGCTTGGCAGCCGCCTCCTGCCAGTGGTGCCACTCCCTGGTGACAGTGGCGCATTGGGTGCGGGGTGGTGGTGAAGGTTGGGGGTGAGGACAAGGCTGAGGGTGAAGGGCGAAGCTTGGTGATGGGGGACGGCACAGTGTGAACAAGTGGATGGTGCTGGAAAGGCACTCGTTCACACCCACTCACACACTCACACATTCACTCACTCACTCACTCACTCACTCACTCACTCACTCACTCACTCACTCGCTCACTCACTCACTCACTCACTAACTCACTCACTAACTCGCACAAATACACACTCCCAAGCACTCACGCGTGTGCGTCGCCTTCGGAAGCAAAAAAGTGAGCAAGGTAGATGTGGCTCTGTGCGTCGCACTGCCACGTGTCATCGATATCGCCCTGAAAGGAAGAGAGCAGGATCCGTGATGAGAGGCATGTGAAGTGTGAATTAGCACACGCGCGCAAATTAACACAAACACAGCCGCAACATACAACAAGCAGCTTCATGACAGCAGTCAAACCATGAATCCGCAGCTCACCTTGATGGGGTAAGACCAGGAAATGGGGACGCGCTTGAACAGGGATACGCAAACTGTTGAGACTTCCGCGCCCGCCTGCAGACGCCACCCGCTCTTCTTCGGCAGCACCGTCTGATGCAGTTGACCCTGCCAGCGGCACGACGCAGAGCAGGCACACGTGCAACGTGCAAACCGTGGGCGTGTGAGTGTTGGGGAAGCAACGGATGAGCAGAGGATGAGCAGCAATCGGACTTGCAGAGGCGAGACGGACAGATAACATTTGGGGCGGGAGGAGGCAAGGATGGTCAGACGTACGCAGACGACGGGCTCTTCTCCTTCGACCCAACACTTGATGCATGACTCCTCAATTTCCACCTGTGGGATTGGCAAGCAGCGAGGAGGGAGATGAGGTGAGAAGCATGCAAAGCACAACAGAACTGAAGTGCATGCACAGGAACTGTGGCACGCCTTGCCCGTCACCATGCCGTCCTATATACACATGAACTTGCACGCAGACATGCGCGCATACTACACATGCATACATGTACACATGCATGCATGCATGCATCCTCCCCTCTCATTCCAATACCCGTCCCTCCTCCATCCATCCACACACGCACGCGCACACACACACACATGCAGATGCGCACGTTGATGTTGGTGAGGGATGTGGCTGGATCAATCTCGAACGTCAGCAGCACCGTGGAATCGCTGCCTTCCTCCCATCGGTAGCCAGGCGCCCTGCACCACCCAACAACACACGCAAGACAGAACGTACACACACGCACGCACATGTGCGCGCAGTGGAAGTGAAAGGGGAATTAGCAACAGGATGCAGTGATCGCAGCCAAACCGCGTGCATGGTTCACCGTTTCATCGTCCACATTCAAGCATCAACACCACCATCCACGGCTGCTGCAACCTTCAACCACCACACCGCCACCACGCACCGAATCACCGCCATCGTCGTCGCTTGTTCAGTCTGGTTCCTGAATTTTATTGGATATCTTCTACAATCCATCTACAACGCCCAACACAGTGCACAAACACACACACACACACACACACACACACACACACACACACACACACAACACACAACACACAACACACAACACACAACACACACAACACATCAGTCGAGGTCCTCCACGTCTGTGGATGCGACGACTTGGATGAGAGGCCGTGTGCCGCCGTCACTGCCACCTACTGTGGTAACGCTTGGTTTGTTGGTGCTGTTGCTGTTGGCGCCAATGCCCTCCCATCGTGGCCCACGGCCCGTCTCAATCTCCTCGGGCACATCGCTGTCCTCGTTGTCTGTCTCATCATCAAGCTCATCATCATCATCATCATCGTCATCACCAATGCGAGCACGTCCAACGAGCGTGGTGATCTCTTGTTGCGGCTGTTGCTGCTGCTCCTGCTCTTCGCCGGCACTGCTGCTGTCATCGCTGGCCACCTCCTCAATCAGCATGCGGCGTGGCTCCTGCTGCGGCTGCGTGATAAACGCGCTCTGCCCCGCGAGCGACGTTGGTGCCGCTTCCTCCTGATCATCAAACTCGTCCACTTCGTCTTCATCCCACAGCTGCCGCGGTGCGCGTGGCCCCGTGATGTCAATCACGTCTGCACGCACCGCTCCCGAACTCGCCGCTGTCTGCGCCACCTGCTCCTTGGTGGCACCAGAGTGTCCGTATTGCTCCCTGTTGTACTGCATCCGCGCGTCCGCCTGCATATCGTCCTGTGGAATCTCCTCCAACTGTGGAGGTGCGCCATCACCATCACCATCGTCGTGCTGCGCGTGTCGATACAGGTTATCAAACACGGGGTCACGGCCGAGTGTGGAGCCAACGGTAGCGGCCTCGTGCAGTGCGGGGCTGCCGTCCACCTCATCTGCATCCTCGTTGTCGGATGTGTCACTCGTCTCCCCGCGTGCTGCGCGTTCCTCCTGCGCCTTTTTCTGAAGATCCCACAGGTACTTGACGGCCCGGAACTGGCGCGCTCGCTCCTCCTCGTTCCACCTGCAATCGGGAAGTGGGTGTGGGGGTGCAGTTGTGTGTGTGTGTGTGTGTGTGTGTGTGTGTGTGTGTGTGTGTGTGTGTGTGTGTGTGTGTGTGTGTGTGTGTGTGTGTGTGTGTGTGTGAGGGTGCAGTTGTGGATGTGCGTGTGTGAGTTTGAATTCAGTACACCACAAGCACGACCATCACCACCACAGGCACGACCATCACCACCACCACCACCACCACCACCAAAGGCACCATCACCACCATCACCATCACCACCATCGCCACGGTGTGTACCGTTCTCTCTCCTCGCGCTCGGCCTGGCGACCGCCAACCGCCCACGCCTCTGTGCACGCGCGCTCCTTGTCCCGCACAGGCTGTGCACACAAAAAACAGAACACAATACAGTGGTGTGGTGTGGTGTGTATGGTGGGGAAACGTGGAAAGAACGCAGTGAGTGGTGGCAGCAAGCAATAATGCACAAGAGTTCATCGACACAAACACACACACACACGACCAGTACGTGTTGGCACTGACCCTGTCGTCGAGGTAGGTGAGCTGCTTGCACTTGAGGATCATCGTCTTGCGGTAGTTCTCGATGGAGCGAATGACAGGGTTGCCCATCAAATTCAGCACACGCAGGTTCTGCCCGTCGTGGTGGTGGTGGTGGTGGTGAATGTGACCATTAATGAAGTAAGCAATGCACACACACACACACACACACACACACACACACACGCACGCACGCACGCACGCACACACACGCACACACGCACACACACACACACACACACAGCACACACGCACACAGCACACACGCACGCACAATTGCAGACGCACACACATGCACACACAATATTCGCACACACACGCGCGCACATACCGGCATCTGCGCGAACACGTCGACGACATCAGGGTCGGTGATCTTGTTGTGCGAGACGTCAACTACGCTCAGTGATGGGCACTCGATGAGGCCCTTGAGATCATCTGCCGTCTTGAGGTGGTTGTGCGTGAGCTGGATGGTGCCCAGGTTGTGCAGGTTGGACAGGCCCGTGACGCGTAGGATGGTGTTGTTGCTCAGGTTGAGCTGGTTGAGGTTGGTGAGCGCATCAAGGTTCTTGATTTCGCGGATCATGTTCTTCTGCAGATATAGACACCGCAGCTCCGTCAACGCGTCTGTGATGGTGCGGGACAGGCAGGTGTTGTGTGTTGCAGTGAGATGGGGTGCGTTGCAGTGAGATGGGGTGTGTTGCGGTGAGAAGGGGTGCGGTGGGAAGGGGTGCGATCACTCAGGATGATTTGTGGATGTCACATGCAGCACAAGAGAGACAGGAAACAAACGTTGCCCGTGTGCCCGCACCGAGGTTCTCAATCTCAGAGATGCCGTTTCCTTCCAGCCAGAGGCAGCGCAGGCCCGTGTACTCCTCCAAGTTCTCGATCTTGGTGAAGCCTGGTGAGTGTGAGGGTGCATGAATGTGTCGGGGAAGAGTGAGTGTGCACGAGTGCGTGAGTGTGTGCCTGTGTCTGTGTCTGTGTGTGGGGGGGGGGCTTATGTCTGTGCCTGTGTCTGTGCATGTGTCTGTGCCTGTGTCTGTGCCTGTCTGTGTCTGTGTGACGGCAAAGGTGATGGGGGTGACACTGCTCATTGCACGCAGGTCTGGCTTGCACGAGCTATCCAGCAACGCGTATCACCTTTGTAGTGCAGATAAAGAATGTCGTTGAGGCTTGGTGTTGTGTACTGCTTCATTTCCTTGCACAGCTGCTTCAGGTACTTCTTCGTGATCCTGCCATGTATGCACGTTGTCAATGAAGGTGAGCACTGGGAACGAGTGAAACAGGAAAACGAGACAGACACATGAAACGGATACAGATAAACATAAGCACACATCCACGTACATACATGGATCTTCACACACATTCGCGCACACACACACATGCGTACCCACAAGCACACACACACACACAAGCACACACGCACACAAGCACACACGCACACAAGCACACACGCACACATGCACAAGCACACGCAACTGAGCACACGAGCACACATTTGCACACCTGGGCATGTTGGGGTTCTGTTCTTCCTCGCGCTGCTTAAGGCCCGAGGCTGGCACGACAGCTGTCTGCTCTGTTGGCTGCATGGTGGCGGCGGTGGTGGTGTTGATGGCTGCTTGCTTCTTTCTTGCTCGGTGCTGGTGCTTGCTTGTTGGGTGCTTGGTTTGGTTTGGTTGCTGGGATGATGGACGTGCGAGGTGTAAGTGCAACGACTGCTTCTTGCTTTGCTTGTTGGGCGGACGTTTGGGTCGAATATTCGCTTTATTTTCATTCAATTATCCATACTGCCTGCGTTGCCAAGAAGAACCAAGCAAAGAAGGAAAGCACAAACACACACGCCATCCCATCACAACAGGCAACACAACAACAACACAACACAGCTCGCCCTGCTTGCTCTGACCGCCACAACAGCTAGCCAACACACAGACACAGGAGACAAAGCAACCAAACAAGCCATGTTCAAGCTCGACATCCCCCCTGATCCTCGCGAGGTTTGTACGGTGGACGGGTGACAGAGCATAGAAGCTGCAGCATCGAAGCAGCATTGAAGCAGCCGCATTGACACTCCCATGAGCGCCATACACTCGCCATACATGTATTTGAGTGCTTCAAACACCCTCATTGTTCTCTCACGCATGGATGAACCTTGTGTCACACAACATCATTGCCACCACAGGCCGCCAAGCTGGAGGCAAAGCGCCGTCGTGCAGAGGAACGAAAGGTGGGTTGGCTGTGAACGTGATGCTGGTGGACTTTGTACATTGTTGTTGTTGTTGTTGTTGGTGCGCGACTGTTCTGCATCGGCTGTTTGTTCGAAACAGACTGAGCAAGTTGTACACAACCAACAAAGGTGCATGCACCTACGAACGTGGAAAGCACGTGCTCACTCGCCCCATCTGTTTTATTGTGACTGCTATTACAGAACCGCATCTTCAATGCGCGCCAGCGCACCATGGGCCTCGATGTCGAGGCGCTGGAGCAGCAAATCGCAGAGAAGAAGCAGCGCGAGGAAGAGGAAAAGGAACGCGAGCGCGCAATGGGTGAGGACACTCACAAACACACAAACACACACACACAGTGAAGGGGGCAGAAGTGCCCCGAA